AAATTAAATGTATCCAGCTCATAATATACGATATTTCACATAGACTTGAATTGGAATAATAACAGAGAAAGCTCTGTAGCCACTTGTTTATGTCTTTATGATTGATTGGGCAGGTAGAAGTTCACCATGCTTTGACTTGGACCTTAGAACAAGTCAGTACAAAAAGCAAAGCAAAAATTCTCTATGCATTATGAGACTATTTTATTGTTATTTTTTTTTTTACTTTTATTTCCTGTTTGATCTTGCTTAAATTATGAATGTCTCAATTATGGAGAGGAAGTTGGAGTGGAATATCCTATTGTTAGAATCTAAAAGTTGTGTACACCCAAGATGTGTCCTTAAACTCTTCAATTTATACATTTTGTCCAGAGTTCTAACATAACTTAAAAATAATACCTTGAAGTGAACCCCTTTGTGTGAGTTCTGTTATTTTAATAACAATTTAGGATATTTACGCCATACATAAAAACTAAAAAAAATGAAAACACTATACAATGTCTCATAGGATAACCTTCACCCAGTGATTAAGCATGAGTCGGCAAGTAATTAGCTACAAGCTAGAGAAACCAGTGGACAATAAAATTTAGTACGATCTCTTAAAATAATGGCACTCCTATATATATATATATGAGTTTTCGTATAGAACATGTTGGTAGCATATAGCCAGCTACCCACAAGCAACAACTCGAAATTATTTAGTGGCTATTTATGAAACTCGTTGCCCTGTCTCCAAGGTAAAATCAGGTTGACATAATTGTCCTGACTAAATCTCCATTTTTGGCAATTATAAGTATTGCAAAAGCGTCTCTTTCATTGTCCTAACTTGGACTCCTCAAGCTGTTAATTCTAGTTAGTATATACAGTTGATAATGTATAGTTTAATTCATCAATCATCAATGTGAAGTGAGTTTGGTTACCATCTTAATGTCTTCTATACTGAGTGTGTACCGATGACAATAAGTTGGCCAAAATTATTTGCAAGTTTCAAATGATTAAAGTTGGGTTATATTTAGTAAAGCTTTGTGGTTAGTGTTGGGGCTTAGTGTCCTAATTCGTGTTGGTTTCTTTAAATAAACCAAACCAACCACGCATAAACGAAAAAACTTTGTTTTTTAAAAATTATCGTTATACCATGGACCATATTATAATTATAATTATGATAATAGTAATAATAATATTGAAAGGAATGAGAATGACAGTTTTTAAAAACTTGAAAATTATAATTGATGAAAGTTTAAGTTATATTTTAAACATGTACTAGCTAATTTTCTAACAACGTACGTGAATGTTATCTCATTATTTTATATAGGTATTATTTATGTCATTTAAATTACTTATTCTATCTGAATATTTATTTATTTATTGTCTTTCTTGTATATATTCATCTTGAAAAGTATTTAAAAATAATAAAAAGAAATAGTTGTCCCGAAATTAAATCATGAACCATTTTCGAAAGTGCAGGTGAACGAACATGCATGTATGGGGCCAAACAATAATTAGGTTAGGCCTGCATCGCATCGTTGAGCATTCTTGTGTTTTCTTTTCAATGAGATACTTAGAATGATAGTAATATTAACTAAGAAACCTCGTGCTCAAATTGTGATAACAAAGCTTTGAATTAACCAGACAAGGTGTATCAATGTTCTTTTCCTATTTCCCTTTCACTCGATTTTCCAGTTTTCACATTTCGTAAATAATAATTATAAAGGAGAACCATTGTTAACTAAAAGTAACTACATTTCAATTGCTTATAATTTCAATAATTTGACCAACCTTTTGTCCTCTGTTTCTCACTTCCTCGTGTATAATAATCTATTTTTAGTTTTAGTTTTCGGGGAGATGACCATAATTTGAATTAAAAAAAAACCTACACAATTTACTAAAATTTAATAAATATTAACATTTGTTTCAACCCTCCATTATTTGATTTTTTTTTTTTAAACTTCATTTGAGTTTATTATGTATTTGAATTATGAAATTTTTAACCAGATTTGATCGTTTGTCGTATAATTGGAGTATGCTCATAGGTACATAATGTCAAAATATTAAACATATTAAATACTTCAAAATTTTAAATTACTTTAAAAATATCTAATTTTATATAAAAAAATATTTTTGTTCTTATCATGTACATTAAAGCAAAAAAAAAAAAAAAACACTCTATTTATGACTAAAAAGAGTTAGGTAGAGAAGTGTTTGTGCCTCAACGTAGAAAGACAGAAGTTTTAACATTATGTAATTAAACGTTACCATTTCCTCTTCATACATTAGCTTATACTCAATATAATAATATATATTAACTGCTTATAACAAAATCTACTATCCTCTTAAATGATTTACTTTTATATGTTAAATTTAAGTCTATTTTTTAAAATAAATAAATTTTTGTACAATTTTTATTTAAGAAATGTTGAAAAAGTAGTTTTTTAAATTAAATATAATTAATAAAAAACTGTATTAATTTTTTTTTCTTCCTAATTTTATTGGTTTACTGAAAAATTATAACAAATTAATATGTGTCATTACTTTAAATTAGACTTTCAATATATAATTAAAATTCACGTTCGATTTTAACTAATTTAAGTTGAATTTAATAATGTGTGAATTTGTGAATCTAATGTCTTTCTAAAGTTCCCACTAAAATTTTAAAATGACGATTTAGTGTCCGTTTGTGTGCATATTATAATAAAGTTCGCGGAATTTTTAATATAGCATACGTGAGAGTAAAATATTTTTTATTCTCTCAAAATATCATTATACAAATTATCAAATCAATTTCTCAATATGTAAACTTTATATATATAATTACATGTGAAAGATAATTTGTAAGCATATCTACAGCGAAGATTCAAACTATGATACACTATCGATTAAGATTATTTTTCGCGTAAGGGTAAAAAAAATTTATCAAATTGTGTAAAAAAAAACATCACCTTTATTAAAGGGGCGATGATGCTTCTTCGGGTAGAGTTTATGTTTGCTAAATTATATTATTTAAAAATATGAAAATAATGAAATAATTATTCAGTATAACCTCACATGTGACTATATTTAAATTAAACGTTGAAGGAATTATTGTGCAATTAATAAAAAACCACGCGCGCTAATTATCACAAGCGATTATACAAAAAGCTATATACTCATAAAAAAAGAAATTTGAATAAAATTTTATACATTTAATCTTGTGATAATAATTTTATTAACAAACATTTTTTTTCCTGTCATTAATTACGAAATATTTAAATATATAAAATTGATAAGTCGAGTATGTAAACTTTAGACCCAAAGAGGAAATGCTTTTTTAAGTCATTTCGAAGCTTATAGTGACCATTTTTAATTTTATTACTTAATAATAAATTTCTTAGAGCAATCTCCACGTGGTTCACAAAAAAAAGTTGCATTAACATTATAATATTTCCCTCGTTGTTCACGAGTATTTTATTAATTACAATAGTGAACTTCGGTTGTAAATAAAACTAGATAAAATTACAATAAAATAAAAGAAAATCAACGTGGTAAAAAGGTTACTATTTTTTTTAATATTTGTAACTGGTAAAATAATATTTTTATACTTTTTTTGGTTGCGAACTTGCGATCGATATTTTAATTTCTCTCACCTTTATATCATTTATTTGTTCAAATTTCTATGTAGCTATTGATATTTCCTATTTAATGCAGTACTGTATATAGAGTGGAAAACAAAGTCTATTGAAATTAAAAAAAAAAAAGAACATGTAATTTTAATGAACAGATTTAACTACTACTCTTTTATATAAGATTTAAGGTCTTGTTAATCAGTGCTATAAGGTACTGGTTACAAAAATTAAAAATGTACAATTATTTAAATTTATATTAAATTACATCAAAAATTATTGGAAAGGTATATTTATTATATTTAAAAAATTCCTTTTGATTCTTTAATTAGTGTCTTAGGTGATGGTTAATGTTTGTCATTTTTTTTTGTTTTAATGTGTTCATAGACTTTGAGTTGTATTTCTTTCATTTTTTAGTAATCATTTGTTTTTAAAATTCAGTCTTTCAATAATGTCATAATTAACTAAAGGACTCGTATCCTCATTTGTATGGATCACATTAATGAGAGAGATTAAAAAAAAAAAATAGTTAAAATATAAAGACAAAATAAATAAATAAAATAAAATGGTCCCAATTAAAAATATATTTAAACCTCCGTATAAAAATTATAAACAATGTCAACAGAGTTGGGAAAAAAATGATTATTTATAACTTGGTTGTTCGGCATGTTATGCGAGCATCAACGCAATGAATGCGGAAACTTTACGATTGATTCACAAATAATCTAAGCTTATTGTTGGAATTAGCCAACTGGCACTGGTAAAAAATATCACGAGAACCTGTTATGAAATTTAAATATTGTCTAAACTTATTGAACATTTATGATTATATATTTATATTAAATTCTCTGAAATACAAAATACCTTTATTAATAAAACTGTAATATTATATAATTTCAGACTGTTTTTTCCTTTATCTTATCTTATTTATTGCACTGCATAACCACGTGGTCTATGACATCGATTACGTATATCTATATTCTCTTATTTTGTAACTCCCTTTACTCTGGTGGTATACATAGATGTGAGAAAATGATTATTTGTAAAAACTAAGGAGAGACAAAAAATAGAGAGCGAACAATAAAAATCACTTTCCTTACAGAGAAAGTTGAAACAAGTTAGGGGTGGTTGGTTGTTTGATTTTGGAGGAGAGAAGAAGATGAGCGAAAGGCAATGTTAAATGGAAACAGGCATAAGATGGACATAGAATTGAATTTTCTGAAAAACTAAATAACTTGTATATATTTATTTCATAAGCATAGTTAACAATAATAAGAAAGAAAAGAAAAGAAAAGAAAGAGTGAAACGGCATGCCGTACGCGTGGGCAAGTCTCACGCGCCAACCTTCTTCACTTTCTATAAATAACATTCTAAAACTGCGCATTGTCTTTCAACCCTTCACTCTCTTCCAATTCTATTTTCCCTTCTTTCAATTTTTTTTCAGTTTTTCCGTTTCGGGATTTCAATTTATCCGTATCCCGAGAAATGGAAGTTCGCCGGCGAGTCATGAACCCGGGCCGTTCGGTTCCCGCCGGCGAATCGCTGAAACAGAAAAACCATAAGAACCACGATTCGCAGTCGCAGTCGCAGTCGCAGTCGCAGTCGTACCTAACAAACGGCGTCTTCTTCGGTCTCTTCTTCTCGGTGGCATATTTCCTCCTCCACCGATGGCGCGAGAAGATCCGCACCTCCACGCCGCTCCACGTCCTCACGCTCTCCGAACTCGCCGCCATCGCTTCTCTCATCGCCTCCGTCATCTACCTCATGGCCTTCTTCGGCATTGGCTTCATCCTCCACCCGTTCCTCAGCTCTCGCTCTTCCTCCGACGACGACCTCGACCTCCTCGACGACGACGACATTGCCAAGCACGACGCTCGTCCCCCTGGCCCCTGCCCCGCCGCCCTCGCCGACATCCCCGCCGTGGCGCCGAAGCCGCTCAAACTCGACACCGAGAAACAGAAACCGCCACCGACGCCTCTCTCCTCTGACGACGAGGAGGTGGTCCGTGCGGTGGTGTCGGGGTCGATTCCGTCGTACTCATTGGAATCGAGGCTTGGAGATTGCCTGAGAGCGGCTTCGATTCGGCACGAAGCGGTGGAGAGAGTGACAGGGAGGTCGTTGGAGGGTTTACCAGTGGAAGGTTTCGATTACGAATCGATATTAGGACAGTGTTGTGAGATGCCGATAGGGTTCGTTCAGATCCCGGTTGGGGTGGCTGGGCCCCTGCTTCTTGACGGGAAGGAGTACACGGTTCCTATGGCCACCACGGAGGGTTGTTTGGTGGCTAGCACTAACAGAGGTTGCAAAGCCATTCACGTTTCCGGTGGAGCTTCCTCCATGCTCCTCCGTGACGGGATGACCAGAGCCCCCGTGGTTAGGTTCAGCTCCGCCAAAAGAGCTTCTGAACTCAAGTTCTACTTGGAAGACCCTCTTAATTTCGATTCCCTTGCTGTCGTTTTCAACAAGTAATTGATTAATTAATTAATTCGCTCATTCATTAATTTTAAGAAAAGGAAATAATCAGTTATATAATTGTCAAATAATTAATTGATTGTTATGTATGTATTTATGTATGCATGGCAGGTCAAGCAGATTTGCGAGATTACAGAGTATTAAGGCGGGTATAGCGGGGAAGAATTTGTACATTAGATTCAGTTGCACCACAGGGGATGCCATGGGGATGAACATGGTATCCAAGGGAGTTCAAAACGTGCTTTCTTTCCTTCAGAGTGATTTTCCTGACATGGATGTTATTGGGATATCTGGTAAGCTAAACATGATATCGATAGTCATTATGACAATGACATCACTTTTTTTTGTAGTATTTTTAATTGATGATGAAACAAATTTGGAAACTATATTAGTTAATTAAGAAAGGTGATTTGGTTGTATCAGGAAATTTCTGTTCGGATAAGAAAGCGGCGGCTGTGAACTGGATTGAAGGGAGAGGGAAGTCAGTGGTGTGTGAGGCTGTGATTAAGGAAGAGGTGGTGAAGAAGGTTTTGAAGACTAGCGTTGAGGCTTTGGTTGAGCTGAACATGCTCAAAAACCTCACTGGCTCTGCTGTGGCTGGTGCTCTTGGTGGGTTTAACGCCCATGCTAGTAACATTGTTTCTGCTATATATTTAGCCACTGGACAGGATCCTGCTCAGAATGTCGAGAGTTCCCACTGCATAACTATGATGGAAGCGGTAAATGATGGCAAGGATCTTCACATCTCTGTCACTATGCCTTCCGTTGAGGTACATTTACTTGCTGTTTTCCTCTTATATCGTTATGGCTTTGTGCACAATGTTATTTCTAATTTTCTATTATTATTATGGTATAGTTTTTAAATATAAAAAAATAGTAAATGCGAGTTATAGTACTCTTCAGACGAGTCGTTATGTGTTCGACAATGTTGTCGGCAAGGCAGACACACAATTTCAATATAAGATTCAGTGTTTCATCATTTAGCTGTGTGGGGCTGTGTCTGAACCCCTCCATTAAGTCGAAGAAAGATGATATCATCAAAATCCCTGTCTGCAAGACAAGCTAAATATTCAGTTTACTAAGAATTTATCCAACTCTTTTTTTATCACTGAATTCATTCTCTCCCCTGCAATTTTTTGCAGTTGTAGTTTTTTGAACTATTAAAAATTATTTAAATTTTTTAACATACACATCTTAAAAATATATTAAAATGTGATAAAATATATTTAATTCTTTGTTTAGGTTGATTTAGAGAAAAATGAAATAGGAAATAGAGAAGTAAACGAGAAGAATCATATTAAAAAAAATGGTTGTTGCAGGAGATTAATTTTTAATTTTACATTATTATTTTTTCTTCTGTATGATGCTTTTTTTTTTTTAGTAGTAACATATTGTACCAAACATCCTTATTCGCGAGGTGTAGAGAGAAGCGAACAAGTTGAAGAAAATCTCAGTGCATGTTTTATAATAATTTTTTTAAAAGTATAATTGCTTTTAGAATTATTTTAGTAGATTGATAAAATAATAATAATTTCATTAAAATAAATTTTACGCGTTTATTCTCTTGAAAATGAGCTGAGCTTAATTTTGTCATAATTTCATTACATGAACGTAGTCACGTCTTCAGATCCCATACGTAGTTGGACCACGAGTCAGCCATTCATATGAATCATATCTCAATTTGTTGAGGATTAAATTTCAGTTTCCCCCATTACAAGTAAATTTTTAGAAAAACGCTAACTCTAGACACTAGTTAAAGAACAGAAATAAAAATATTTTATTAAAGAATATAAAAATATACTCATTCAATGTATTTTCAAATAATTTCAATAAAAATTTATTGTTTATTAATTAGGGCCGTTTAACCATACCCTTATTTTAATGAATTTACACGTTGATGGTTTATAAAGTCACGTTGAATTTAATATCTAAAATTCAATGATGAAAAAGACTTGCAACTCACATTTGGGTGAGTAGGGATATGACATATTCGAGTGCATTAAATAATTTCAGTCTGAATTGCATCGTGTCCCGTTAGCATTAGTATTAGTATTTTGATTATGATTTTGAGAATAATGGTGCAGGTGGGCACAGTTGGAGGGGGCACACAGCTAGCATCGCAGTCAGCATGCCTAAATTTACTTGGTGTTAAGGGTGCGAGCAAGGAGTCCCCAGGTGCTAACTCAGGGCTATTGGCAACCATAGTAGCTGGTTCAGTCCTCGCCGGGGAACTCTCACTGATGTCTGCAATTGCAGCAGGGCAACTTGTTAATAGCCACATGAAATACAACAGATCAAGCAAGGATGTCACCAAAATTGTCTCTGGTGCGGTCCCATGATAACGCCACAATAAAGTTGTATCACTTCGCCAATAGTACGTAAAATTAAGAAAAGGATGCACGTGTATAAATAGTTTCTAAAGGACAATCAATTGGTGATGATGGTGGGGAGATTTCCTGCAATTAGTCTTCGTTAATATCTCCTTCATACAACGGATTTATCTTTCTCATGTACAGCTCTCCAATAAGACTTAGTTATGTTCCTCTTTTTCCCTTTTTTATTTCCATAAAATTAATTTTAATCAATTGTGTCGTGTTTCATTCCCTCTTCCAAAGCTCCTGCTTAATTAGTTTGTGCTCTTTTCATAATTTTGTTTTGCTGTAGTCTCTCTTGTTTTGTAATTTTAGGAAGAAGCCAGACATCTCATTTGATGGGTGATTTCTAAAACAACTGTGTGTTATATCAAAGTTACATACGGGCCTTCAAGTGCCATTATGAATAAATCTTCCATAATTTTCCTGTTAGAAGGGAGGAACATTCTGCATATATTAATGAATAAAGATTATGATTTTATTATTACTCATATATTAATATTAATATTATTAATGATTTCAAGATAAATTTTATTCAACACTTTTAATTTGACTTTTTAGCTTTTTGAGTCTAATCTTCTAAGTTCTTTTCTGCAAGTTATATTAACTCAGTTAATATTTTTCTATCTTTTTCTAATAATTGTCTATTCATCTTTCTCATACCCCTATTCACTTCCATCGGATGTTTTATGTTCTTTCTTGTCTTCCTTCTCTTAAATTTTCTCACCCCTTTCCTTCTTCTTTTATTATTATTTTTCATCTGTTTTATATATTGTTCTTTTGCTTGGAATAACCAGAGAGTTAATATTGCAGTGAATATGATTGAATCAACCGGAAAGAAAGGAATGGGAAAGAATAGGAAGAGGAGGAAGAAAAAAGGAGAAGCTCTAACATAGTGACATGAAGAAAATAAATGAACAGTTGTTAAAAAAAAAGTTAACAAAGTTAATGTAATTAATAAAAAATTAAAATTAAAATATAGTTAAATAACTAAAATGAAATAAAATTTATGAAAAATTAAAGATCAATATATTAATTTAGTCAAAATATAAAAATAAATTATGAACCAATTTTTTTTTTATAAAGTACAACTAAATTTGCAATGATAAAAAATTATTTTTGGAGCAAAAATACATTATGAAAGATATTTTTATCATCTGATAAATTTTATGAGTGTAGCCACCAAAATACAATAAAATAAAATAAAATAAATCATCTACCTCCATGTCTAAGTAATACTTTGAGGATAATAATCAGTGTGATGATAAACTGATATTTTCGTTAAGCAGTGAGATTTGAGTGCAAAAAATAAATACAACAAAAAATGATAGAAAGAGAAAATAAAAAATTTAATAAAAAGACAAAAGAGAGAGAAAAATATATAAAAATATTATTATCAATAATGTTAAACCTTAATTCACATAATTTTAGACTCAGTTAAATAAACTTAAAAGCAAAATTAATATAAAAAAAATCAAATTTCTTAACAACACATTTAATAGAAGCCATGTCCCATGAGGTTATGGTATTTGATTATCATAAAAGGAAGGGGGTGTGAAGTTATCCATCGTAGGGAACCGTTGTTTTTAACTTTTTGTTGTTATTTGCTGGCAGCATTTCCACCAATCTCAACAACTAAATCCCCACATGCATCGCCATCTCATTAAGTCTACCATTTTATTTAATTATCATTTATAGAACAATTTTAAAATGATCTTATTGTTAATTATCATTTATATATAAAATAGATTATTATAAAATTTCCTCTCACTAAACATGTCCAAACACAAAAGTTTGCAAGTTCAGTTTCTCCATATTATAGAACTCTTCACTTGCAAATGAGGTTCAATATGAAATTTAAGTGTAGATCTAAACTAACATTAAATAATTGACTTTGTTGTTGTTGTTAGTAAACTACGAAAGGGAAAGTGGGTCATGTGGAATTTATGATGAATTCGACAAATTCATGAATGCACATCCCCATAACACCTTTCCATTGAAATTAGGTCATAATCACAGATAGAAATATATTTTTTAATACAAGATTAATATAAAAAATGAAAAATTATCTTTTAATTTGATTTATTTTCGCCGTCTGTGGGAATCGAACCCACGACCACGTGGTTAAAAGCCACGCGCTCTACCGGCTGAGCTAAGACGGCTTGTGATTGTTCAGAGATTTAACAACTTAATAAACCATAACAGTTGGTTTTTTCAGCTTCAAAATTCAAAAGTGAAAGTTTGACTCGAAGCAACTCTAACCATTATTCACATTTTATATATACTTTTTAATCGTTACAATAAAGTCTTTCATTCCATATTTTATTTAATAATTAGTTAAAATATGAAAAGTATGATACGTAGTTATTTGTATAGATTGACCAAAAAATACATGAAAATATTTAAAAAAATATGTTAGTTATATGTTTTTATTTATCAATATACATTAATTATATTAAAAATAATAATATTATGTCACATTTTTACTATATAAAAAAAATGAGTGAAAGACTAAATCTCAATAAAGAAAAGTTATGAAGAGTAAATATAAACAATTAAAACTAAGATTAAAAAAGTTAAGTCGTGTGTTTATTTAAGTCTTAACATACTCGCAATCTCCATTAGAAAGATTACGTAGTAGTAAGTTGAAGAGATCAAAATTAAAGGTATAATGGACATTTGATGACTAAATGATTCATCTCCATACTGATTGGATAATATGCATTTACTTCTGAATGTTGACTCTGCTCTCAATATCTATCTAATTGATGCGTTGTAAAATAAAGTAATGATATTCTATGGTTTAACATAAAACAACCATATACACACACGATATGAATCATTAAAAAAAAAGTTATTACTGCAGAGTAGAATAAATTACAATTTTAATTCATAAAAATTACAAACATCATTTAGAAAATGACATATAAATTTTATCCTTTGTATATAAATTATCAACCATATAGAAATGATTTTTCTAGAATAGCAGGAATTGCTGAAGAAAAGACAAAGTCACTTGAACTACTTAGAAATTGGTGGCTTAACGAAAAAGGTAGTCAACCACACCTTCGATTTGTTTGCTAGCTATGTATCTAAATTCCAGATTCCAAAAGGATAAGAAAAAGAACAACTAATTGCTTAGTTACAGTAAACGACCAAACTTTCACGTTCTTGACAATATGATATCCACTTTGTAAGAAGCTCTCCAAGAAATCATGCAAATGATTCATTTGGTTTCCAGGAAACTGCATACAACAAACCAGTAAGTGTTCAGCTGCCTCAGAATTTATGGTCCCTATCATTAAAGTCATATAAAAATTTGATTAAGTAAAATTCTATTTAAAGACATTTTTTTAAAAAATTGTAAAAGAAAATGTTAAAAAAATTAATTATAATACTTTTAAAATACTTAAAATAATATTTTGTGAAAAAAAAATCTTTTTAGTTGATATTTCAAAAAAAAAACTTGTAAGATATCTTGTAAGGTAACTAAATCTTGTTTAAACATACTCTTTCTAAAAGGTGATATTTTTTAGGTCGAAAATTGATTTTCAGCATGGCCTGAAGTAGCTAAGAAGAGTTGTTTATCACTTTACTCAATAGTTAGGGGATTTATCCAAGTTATCTTATAAGATAAATAACTCTACTTTCAGTAGACTAATAATGTAAGGTATTGTCTTAGAAATTATATCAACTTTTTATTTAATTTTTTATGGATAACATCTGATTAATTCATCTAGGATGAGGTCTTATAGAGTCATTTCGACAAACCCACAATCAAATTAAAATCCATAAAGATTGCCCAACAACTGATACTAATAGCTTCCTGTGAATCCATGAGAATGAATATTCGTTTTAAAATTTTACGTGACAAAATTACGTGTTTATCATTTTTAATAGAAATTAAATAAGATGTTATAAAAACTAATAAAGAAAGAGATAAATACAAAGTTTATACTCAACGTCATGTGAAATGATACTATTGAATATTACTCCGTTTACGGACACGCAACCAAATATTTTTTGCATGATTGCAATAATTGACACCTTCCATTGACCAAATAAAATCGCATAGGATACGATGATCAGCACTTTGAAAACTAGCTGCATTCTGCACACTCGCATCCTTTGGCTATGAAATTTTTCAGATTGTACATATTGAAAAAAAAAAAAAAAAAAGCAATTGATTCAAGATGTAGATCATGTGCAATTGATTCTGCAAAATTTTAATTGTACCCTTTGTATACAACAATCTTGGTTGACCGTGGAGATTGTAGGGATACATCACAACGCGTATATATACGTGTGTGTGTGATCTTTATTACTTCTAAAATAGCTCAAGTATATCTCCGTAATCCAATTACGAATAACAACGCACCAAGACAAATTCTAGGGCGTACAAAGAAATAATATTTTGCATTCTCGTATGTAAGTTAAAAATTACTTATAACTGAGCATCTTCTGAACCACCAATTCTTGTGAACGAGGTATTTATAGGTATAACCAATTAAAATTTTGAAATAATATTAAAAGTAATTTTAACTTGTACTTCAATGCAACTTTTATATTTATTAAATCCTAAGCTTTTAATTGTTTATACTTGTTTTGAGCTAATGCAAAATTATTCTCTCTGAAGTTCATCACCTCTCAGTCAATCACTGTTACTTCAGGTATGCAGGTTCAGGAGGCGGATGATTCGCAGCATTTTATTTCTAACAGCATTAGCTAAACAATCGTTGGTTTAACTAAAAAGAAGGCACTTTAAACTAACCTTTGATAGTTTTCTAGCCATATATCAATCAACTCAATGCTAGTCCGCTAGACAAACAGCTAAAATCGATTTTTATCCTTCAGGTTCGTTACCATACGACATCCAGCTTATTCAAACTGGAAATTCCCTGCCCAGAATTTCTACTACACATCATGTAATAAGTCTGTTTGGTTTCGATAGAAAATTACACAAACTGGAAATAACTACAACCACTCTTACCGATGAATCAACTTTGATTCAAAAACCCTTATTTGGTAATTGATTAGCAGGTAACCAAATCAAGTTTAAGGAAAAAATATAGATACCAATTAAAAATGTTTAAAGTCTTCGGGTAACTGTTTTAGACAAACTAAATCAAATCACCCTCACCAAGTTTTGTCGATTCGGGTTCTGCCATCGCCAGTCTATTGATCTTAAATTCTGTTCAAAGAATGATAAAAATCCAAAAGAACATTGAAAAAGAAAATATTATACATCAGGTCAACCTGACTTTATCAACTTTAAAATTTTCCAATCCAAAACCTGGACAGACCGGTAGAACTAGAATTCAACTAAAGCAAAGCAATTTTTCCCCCATTGGACTGGGTCGGATAGAAGCATATGAATTACATCGTCACAATAATTAGCAAAACGAAACCCAATAAACAATAATGCACGTGAGTATGCACGTGAGCATCATTGCTTGAAAAATAATGAGTATACCACTGCAAATTATGAATAGCAACGCATAAAGATTCTAGCAGGGTGCAGTCAGATTTTTCCATTCTTTTCTATGAACTAAACATTACTTCTAATTAAGCGTCTGAATTCTGGACACACCCTAACTAGTCAATCACTCTTACCCTGTTGAAAACCAATACCTTGCAGGTAATGTTCTGCATCCAAAGCTGCCATGCATCCTGCACCAATAACATGATTTCCATTATCCTTTGAAGAAAAAGAAAATTACCCAACCCTGATTATTATATCCAATTATTGTTAAAATATTAAGTGCAATGCCAAACAAGAAAACTATTGAAGCCACAGACATCATGAGGCATTCATTATATACAACATGGTCTAAATTATTTCCAGTTCAAATATAATTCCATATTCTTACAATTTGTCTCTTCAACCGGATGAATACGTATTCATTAATATCACTCCAACAACAGAACAAATCAGCTTTAAAATGGTATACATTTTCAGTTTAAACAAGGATTTAATGCTTTGAAGCATGTATATATCTTCTTTATCGTTATTTCTAAAGGAAAAAGTTCAATCATAAGTAACTAAAAGTCATTACCAAATCAGGGAAATTCACACAAAAAATAGAGTAATGATGGCAAATACATGAAAATAAAGTAAAGATAACCAAATTCTAAGCACTTGCAAAGCACATGGGAAGTGGAATGGCGCACATATGAGAATTGAATAGCACATAACATACTAACACTAATGCTTAACTTCAATATGCATTTACAAAAATTCAAACAGAATTTGTTTACATGTCACAAAAGAAAGCTTAAGGCCAGTTATTAATGAAGCACGCTAAGAATGCATTAACAAGGCATTAGATTATAGTCTTTTGGCAATTATTGTGCAAAACATAGATTGGTGATCATATATTTTAGACATAACGGTTGCACGGGACCCATCATGTTTAATTCAGAGTTAACATTGGCAACAATAGCCTCAATAATTGCAGTGAGCCAAGCCAGGTTCTGGGCTAGCACCCCAGGGTGGAAAAAAGAGGCATGAGGCAATATGCAGGTCTCAGTCACCAAATGAATTTTCACTGAAAATTATTAACCAATTGGGAACAAACAGGAGCAGAGTAACCAGTCCAGACCTGAGGAGAAATAAGGGTAGAAAGGAAAAAATAAATAAACTAGGGCTGCATTAATATCTTGCTGCCATTCATGAATTTCAAGTGTTTCATAATACCATTGTTATTTCCTTGTTTGAATCTATTACTAGCATTAACAAGGGTTAGTACTTAGTACTTTGTATTTTGTATCATATCATTATACACCTATCAAAATAATTTTATGATATTGAGTTTTGCATGCACTGTCTGTTGTCACCTTGCAAGTTGTCTATGCCGCGCATTCCCAATCAGCCATCCACAAAGACCCAAGCCAAGATTCCCCTGGACACACCTAGATGAGGCATGGTGCTGCTTCTTGCTTATGTGCTGACCACTTTTGCAGTCCATGGCAGTGTGCCTCTCCTTTGATCGGATGTGTTCACGTCCCCAATTTTGGACCATTTGTTAGGTGCATCTACTTCAACAGCATTTTTTGTCTTTTGCAGCACCCACTATATACCATGGAGTTTGGCTCCTATTTGGCTGATCCCTATTTTCGTTTGTCTCTGTACCTAGTTTCAAGTTGCTGCTATAGGGCTCTCCCAACTTCATTTTGATTTTGTTTAGTCTTTGGATTTCTCTTTAGATATTTTTTTTGTTGTTGGGCTCTCCAAACTTCACACTAAATCCAACTGTTTGGTGGTTGTACAGGGCTTGCTGTGGCTATTTTGTTTGGTTGTTTGCAGTTGGCTTTGTGTCCCTTTTGTTGTTTGGATATTGTGCTTAGTTTCCTATACTCCTTTGGTTGTTTGGTGATTGGCACTCAATTTATGGATCGTTCTTACCCTAACGTATATTTTAGAGCTTGTTTGTTTTCTATAGCAGTTATTTCTCCATTTTGGTTTGCCCTAGGTTGGCTCTGATTTGTCAATAGCAGCAATTTCTATACCTTGATTCCCAATTTGTCTCTTGTAGCTGTCTCAGACACAATCTGGCCCACCAATCTTCAGTCCTAGAATCTTTGGATCCTCAAATATTCAATCTTAAGATGATGATCATTCCAACCATATTTAATGGAGCCATACTATTAAGTTTTAATAGTAACAAGCTAAAATTTAGCAGGCTTTATCTTGAAGGAGTGTTAGAAATTATGAAAAGATCCAATAATATCTTGATTATATCTTTAGAGTGTCTTAGAATTATAATATACAATATTATTTTACATCTATGTAATATGTATATTATAATATTTTAGGGTATTTAAGTGGTCATCTCTTAGGATTAGCTTCCGTATTTTCTTAGGTTTCACATTTCTTAAGATTTCATGATTTGTTTCCTTATCTAATTACAATTAAGATTAGCATAAATAAGGACTGTTGCTTAAGGTTTTGTGAATAACACCAACACATTGTAACACAATACTCAAGATAATATTATTCAAAGTTTCTGCTCTCTCAATGTCATCCCTGAATACCTAAAATACATAATTTCAATCGTCTTCTTTGATGATATCTTCAGTTCATGACCAAGGTATGGCGGTGCATTGGAATCATTAAAGGATTCTATTAGAACTTGGAAGTGTTATGGAGGAATCAAGTTTAGGCGAACAGAGAGAAGTGTTATGTCAAATATGAAAAGCTTCACTACTTAGAGTATGTGGTTTTAGGTGATGGGAAGGCAAAAAACCTTGCTAAAGTAGAAGTGATGATTACCTTGTCTTCTCAAAAGACTTATAAGAGGCCTGAGAGGTTTTTTCAAAGCTATAGGTAGCTTGCTAAGCCACTAATGTAGCAGTTGACGAAATAAAACTATAAATGGAGTAATACAAGCCTTTGAAAAGTTGAAGGCTTACATGATCAAGCTGCCTGTCCTGACAATGCCAAATTTTGACTAATCATTTGGGATAAAGATAGATGCCTCAAGAAGCGACATTAGGGATCACTAATGCAATCCTAAAGAACTTTGGCTTTTATTAATCAAGCCTTGTCCAAAAAATCCAAAATCAAGTTGGTTTATGAGTGGAAGTTGATGAAAGCAATATTTTCAATCCAATAATGGAGGACCTTCATTATCAGAATCAGAACTGGAGAAAAAGACTAAAAGTTTTTAACAGAGCAGAGATTGGCAGAGGAAGATCAGCAAAAGTAGGTCATCACATACCAAGCTGTTTGTGTTAGGTGTTTGATTTTGAAATACAGTAGGAATACAGAATGGAGAATTGAGTTGCTGATCCACACTTTAAGTCTAATGTGAGGAATTACAATGTACTGGCAGTCACTACCATCCAAACTTAATAGTCCCAGACTTGTTAGTGGACCCATCATCAATTCATCACACCCCACATTCCTTCAAGTTTATGTAAGCTTGTGGAGTGGTTGTAAAATTGAATTGTAAAGTTGTAAGAGTATACCTCATGCAAAATTAATATTTAAAAAGCTACAATAATAAAGCAAAGCAAAAAAAGTATACTTAAATAACAAAATCATACAATTGCAATGAGATCTTGGTGCCCTATTTCCGAATGTGGTGTCTTGCAACATGTAGAGAGGAAACAAAAGTAGTGCCCTACTTCTGATTTCTGAACAGTGTCATTTTGGTGGGAAAATGAAATTCTCCTTTTGCTTTGCTAAACACATGGAATCTCTAGTAAAAACACGTGAATTTATCCAAGTTTACCGAAGTTCACCTAAAAATAAGTTTACATGCCTAACATGATTTCCTTACCTGTTATGGTAAATTTGTACAAATTTACCAGTTAGAACATGAATTTAAACCACCAATCTTAAACCAAAGGATGCTTGAGGTATTGGGGAGGACTAGTATTGGTGTAGAAGTATGCAAAATTTCCTTTGCCGTTGGATGAATTTCACTCATTTCCGTGGGGTGGACACACAAGCATTGGAATGACTTACAAGAGGATATCCATGGTGCTATAGTGGAACAGAATGAAAACAGACAAGCAAACCATGGTTGTTAAGATAGAAATTTTTCTTGTAGGATGATACAATCCTACAAGTTTTGTCCCATGTCCACACTTGAGTTTAGGTGGGATTGGCTTTTTGTGGGCTTGTTGCACGATTGTCAGTAAAGATTTCAAACTCATGTAATCATTGAGCAAAAACAAGTTGCAGAGTCATAAGTTGGGTTGCACAACCAGGAAATAAAAAACCCATCTTTCATTTTATTTCCTTCCCAAATCCCTCTTCTCGTCATACAATTTGTGCAGGATAAAAAATTCATGAAGCAACTGATCAATTCTTGGGAAACAGAAATGCTATTACAAATCCTGTTGTTCAGAATAGTCTGTGTACCCTACCAACCATGATGTTCCGTTCAAGTTTATGTCATACACCTACAGTCTTTTTTAAATCATCCATACCTCGTTTAAGAACAAGGCTGCAGACTTAGTTTGCCAGTCAATCAAATAAAGGGCACTCAGCAACACGGTTAATTGATAATTAACAAAAGAGATTATACCAGATAATAGTGAACACACAAAGGCAAAAATGGAGAAAACACAGCTATGTTTCAAAATCATGGATCATGGATCATAGACATATATACACACACATACACTAATAAACATTCCTCTCTACAATTAGAAGAATCTACAATGTAACAGTGATGCAGTGAGGCAGTAGAATTACCAGAGCCAGCAGCAGTAATAGCTTGCCTATACTTTTTGTCTTGAACATCCCCAGCAGCAAACACTCCCTCAACACTTGTCTTTGTGGTTCCTGGCTTAGTCACGATGTAGCCATCAGAATCCAGTTCCAATTGACCATCCAAGAACTTGGTAGCAGGCTCATGCCCAATCGCGAAAAACAACCCCGAAACCTTTAAATCAGAAACCTCTTTAGTTACCACATTCTGCACCTTCAGTCCCCCAAGCAACCTCTTGTTATCTCCTTCCCCATACGCCTCAACCACCACCGAATTCCAAATCACCTTGATCTTGCTATTGCTCAAAGCCTTACTCTGCATAATCTTCGAAGCCCTAAACGTGTCCCTCCGGTGAATTATGTACACTTCGGAACCGTACTTTGTGAGGAAGGTAGCTTCCTCCATGGCCGAGTCGCCGCCGCCGATCACCGCCAACGGCTTGTTTCTAAAAATCGGGGCCGCGCCATCGCACACGGCGCACGCCGAGATCCCGCGGTTCCAGTAGCCATCGGGACCATCGCCGGAGCCCGTGAACGGCAACCGCTTGGCGACGGCTCCGGTGGCGACGATGACGGAGTCCGCCTCGACGGTTCTGGAATCGGTAAAAACCCTAAAAGGTCGTTTGGACAAATCGACCTGGGAAACGGTCTCGGTGTAGATCTCAGTGCCGAAACGCAGAGACTGGTTGCGACAGCGTTCCATGAGCTCGCCGCCGAGGATGCCGTCGGGGAAACCGGGGAAGTTTTCGACGTCGGTAGTAGTGGTGAGTTGGCCGCCCGGAGCGATGTCGTTGGCCATCCAACCTTCGAAGAGGATGGGCTTTAGCTCTGCGCGGGCGGCGTATACAGCGGCGGTGTGAGCGGCGGGGCCGCTTCCGATGATGCAAAGCTTCGTTTTCTGGATCTTAACGTCACCCATCGCGGCGGCGGAAGTCGTAGAAGCGCGATCGGCACTGATCACGTTTCGCGCTTTGTTAAAGAGCTTTCTCCAGTTGTGATTAGGGCAAATTCTAAATTTCATTTCCCTCCTTTCTCGTCTTTCTTTTCATCTTATATTGTTTTAATAAATAAAATTACTTCAAAAAATATAATTACATTTTTTCAAAACACATTAATAAAAATTAATGAATTTCTTAAAAAATTATCTAGACCATTTACTAATTAAACACCAACACAATAAAAGCATAAGAATCCACGCTTGTATGAGTTATTCAACTTAAATATTTATATTTTAAGAATACAAAATGATGATATATTATCAGTAGTATAAAGTAAAGTCAAATTTGAGTCCTAATAATATTTATATATATAATATCTAAGGAATTTTGAAATGGTCCTTTTGGTTTGTAACGACAAGAATTATAGCTTTTGGTCTGATAAAATCTAACCATGGCAATTTGTCGTTGGTTATGAGGCATTATTCCTAATTGTTCTTTCTCTTTTCTAATTTTTCTTGTCCACAAAGATAAGGATCACACTACTTTTGTATTTACCAGTATCTACCTCCTCTTGTTCATGACTGCATTTATAAATAAAGTTGTGTAAAATTAATTTAATTGATAAATAATTACCGATGATATATATATATATATATATATATATATATATATATATACACAAACACTTACACTTTTTCAAAATCATTTCAATTAATAAAATTTACAAATATTTGAATAAATTAGCAGTATAAAGATTGCCCCATTGTCTAATCATTTATTGTCACATAATTAAAAATTTATTTATGGTAAAAATCATCGTTGTCTGTGTTTGATTATATAAATTTATAACTTCATTAATAAATTATATTTTTTTATTTTTAAATAATCTTAATATTTTTAAAAGTTATTTAATATTTTTTAATTAGTTGTATAACTAGTTTTATTAAACAACTTTAATTTAATCAGTTAGGAATAAATTATAAATTTTTAGCTAATTTTAATAAAATAATAATAACATTTCACATTGAGTGCCTGCAAAGAAATATTTGCTAGAGAATTCAAATGGAAAGAAAACAAAAAGGTTTTAAAAAGTAAGTGAGAGAAAGAGAGGGATAGAAAAATACAGATTCAATTTCATGTTGTTTATACGTTAAAAATCTTCCAAAATGAAATTTTCGAAAATTTTAAAAGAATAAAATTTTATATAAAATTAAAAAAATTTCAAATTTCTCAATTTTGTTTTTAAAGAATCTTAGATAAGGAAATGTTTCTCCAAATTTTTACCTTTATTTTTTGAAAAAAAAAATCTTGAAAGTAAATATTCATTTAACAAATTTACATACGAAGATGAATTTGTATGAGTGTATGTATAAATATTGTGATATTTATATCCACTTACTTATATTGGATGTGTGTATATAAAATATGAATCAAGTTCCTTTAAAAAAAATATTTATTAAAGTTTTGTTTAATTAACAGCTCTTTATAAAAATTTAAACTTAAAAATTAAATTGTCAAATAATGTGACATCAACACATTGATAATCTAAATTAAAATTTAAATAAATTATATATTTATAAATATATAATTTTATAATTAATATTTTTATATTTTAAAATATATTATACATTAAAATAAAAAGTTTCAATAAATTATCAAATAGTTTTTAAATTCTATAATTTTTTTAAAACTTAATATATTTATATGAAACTTTGAATCTTATAATCAGATTTATAAAATTCAAAATTTATAAAAAAATATTAAACAAATAAATTTAACAAATTTTTCTTTCAAAGTAAGTCAATCATCATCACACTAGTATATAATTATATACATAAATAATAAAAACAGTTAGACTTGCATTTTTTTTAAAACTTCACATATTCTTTTACTTTTTAAATTTAATGTTTTTAGTAAGTAGTAATATTGGAGTTTAGGAGTAAATTTTAGATAAACATACATCTAACACATGAGCTTTAGATACAACCAATAACAAAATTATAACATGTAAAATTTAAATCAAAATTTGATCTGTTTAGAAATTGTTCAAACCGAGACCCTATTTTGTTTGAGTGACAAATTACAACATGTTAAAGTGAGGACATGAAACCTGTGAAACTAAATTGACTTGATTATAGGGACAGCACTACAGACCCTATTTTGAACATTGTCATTGTCATGTCTAAAAATATATTTCTGATTTTGTTTTGTAGTTTTGGATGATGTGCTTTCTACATCAATTATATCTTCATATATCTTATCTACATTTCAGTACTAGTTTTAATATTCGACCTCTTCAAAAAAATTGTTTATATTATAATAGTATTAATATTTTATTAATTAAAAAATATAAAAAGATTAGATTTAATTCACTAAATTGCAAGCAGGAGGAAGAGTAGGAAAATTTAATATCAAACAAACATTAAATTAATTCTGCAAGTAGATGAATAACTTTGTAAAATGTGACTATAAAATATTTTCTATTAGCAGTCTATCAGACCTTACCAATTATTACTATTGAAACTTCAGAAACTGGAACTTCTCATTTGTTAATTAAACATATCCCTTTTTCCTTTCACTCCAGTCAAAGCATTCACAACCAAAGCGTAGTAACTAATATACTCAATATTAGAATATCTTAATACTGTATTTTTCACACTATTATATTTTAAAACTTATACTTAAAACTATTTAAAGAAAACATAAGAAATTAATTTTTGGTTACTGTGAAAAAGTAGAGTGGATGAAAATGTTTACCATAGTGGTCTTCATGCATGACATATGTCAATAAAATCTTTTGTGATGAAACAAAGTTCTGAACACTTTCCACGTTTTTGCAGAGCTTAAGGTTTATTAACCTAAAAAGTGAACTAAAGTTATCAAATATGGCACAACTTAAATAAGGCTATTTTGGTTTAATTAGTAATTTTGAGTCTGAATTCTGATAAATATAATTATGTTAAATACTCTTTTAAAGAGTTTTTCTGTACATAGTATGCAAAATAATGAAGATAATAGATGTCAGGTAAAACTTTGGATTCAATCATCAATGAAAGAATCTGATGATGACAATAATTACTTCCAAGTTAATTTTCAAGATTATCATAAGAAAGAAACAGTACATTACAGTGGTACTCTAACAACAAAACAAACAGATATGTGGCGTCATAGCATCTAAATGAAACGATATTGTGGAAGAATGGTCGGTATTAGGATTTGAAAAGCTATATTATTTTGGACAGGGTCGGTAAGTAAAGCCAACCTGTAAACCAATTTAGACACAACCTGGCCTTGTCACTGCACCCTCAGTGTGGCCCACTAACAAAACCTTTGTTTATTAGCTGAAAAGCTAAGCATAAGTGGATATCTAATCAGCATCATTAGTAATATGGAAACAAAATGTTCTCATTTTAATATGCTTAAGAATGGAACTCATGTGCATTAAATTATAACCATGAAAAAAATTAACTTAGAAAATCCGGAATATGATTGCCCCCTCTTTCTAATGTCAACATTAATCTTCTCTTTAGACTCACTTTAGGTTTAGATTAGTCAAAAAACGTTTTTTGTGTTAGGTGGTAATACCAGCTTGAGAATCTTTATTTGTACCAACTAAGTAGAATGAACCATTCAGCCACTGCCACTTGCCATTAACAAGGAAAAATAAAAAATCTACCCCCATCTAATTAGTGTTTGATAAAATTTCTGAATATTAAGGAACAATATTTTACAACTTTTATATCACATTTCTCACACTCTTATACACAGAATAACCCATTACCGATGCAAAACTTTAGATGAAATATACATAGGAGAATAATTACATATTCTCAATCGTTCCTAAAAATTATAATGAAAAAACCATAGAAATTCATAAGGACACCAAAAAACCCAGACAAACTAATACTTGAGTATTGATTTTCCATCTACCAAAAAGAAAACAGAAAAAGAGTCATGAGTTTCTATCTTGAATATGACCAACTGGGTCTTGATCAATTTGGTCCATGGAAGAAATAGATGTTCTTTTGATGAACTCCAAGCAATCTGCAATGGCTTCTGCATAGAAAGAATTATTCCTTCCAGAAGATGATATGCTATAATTAACTTGGCCCTTGATTCTTTCTTCCCTCACTAAACCACTGTTGCTATTGCTGCTATAGTTTCTTTTGAAGCCACTTTTTCTTCTAAACACTTTCTCCAGCAGCTGAAGAGCTTGAGCATATGACAGTTTCCACTTATCAAAGAGCCTGAGTAAGAAGGTAAACCTTTTCCTTAGGCGAAGAAAGTAAAGCCTTCTTAGATTCAACCTAAATCCTCTACATTTTCCATGACAAGATGATCCTCTGCCACTGCTAACTCTATTGTAACTCATATGACCCATGTTTTGGCTTATGCTATGCAATCTGAGTTGTGTACAAATATATAAGGTTGAAGGGTGACTTTTTGGATGGTAAGGTAATGATGAGGGTGGTGTGAAGGAGAATGAAGGAAGAAGCTTGGAAAATGGAGTTTTTTGGATTTGGACTGTTTATGAACTTTGGATGGTTTATTGTTGCAAAGACAAAAGAGTTTGAGGCGTAAGATATGTGACCGGGACTAAACTTGAAAACTTGGGTGTTTAAATATATGAAGGGACCATAAACAATTAAACATCAAGGTGTTGAATCATTGATTGGTGTGGTGGGGCCATAAGGGGCCAAGGGAAACAAGCAAAAGAAAAAAATGCCATCTATTCTTTTTCAAAGTAGGTGACTAAAGCATTACAGGAATATGATAATCAGTAACACATTGGTGAAATTCCGGAATTGAGATGCTTAGCCTATATTATAATATGATTATTCAAGCTTTGTTAGTCTAACAAAGTTTGACTTTTGAATTGGCTTTTATCATAGAGTGGTTGCCTTTTCTTATTAGGAATGCGATGACCTCCCCCTGTGTTCCATTAAATTTTTGTTTGATTGCTGCTTACCTTTAATCATAATAACGAACTTTGAGGTCTAATGCTCCCTCAGATTTATGATCCCTTTAATTACTACAAGATTTTGTCAAAAGATCCACTAATCTTCCAAAAGAGTAGATGATCTACAGTTTTCATTGAAAATTTATGTTATCTTTATCACCCACCTCGTAAATTATATTTTTTTAAAATTTTCTAACTTGTATTTAAAGATACACAGTATAAAAAAATTAATAAATAATAAATTCTTATTAAAAACCATAACATTTAATGTTATCGATATATTGGATTTTGTAATATCCTTAAATTTTTAATAAAAACTTATTATATATAAATTTTTAAGTATGTAAGCTAGAAAAATCAATTATTATTATTATTATTATTTGTTACTAATTTAGAACTTTAAAATAAGAGAGTTGGAGTGTTCTATACATTTTTCATAAGCTCATCGGGTCTCTTCTATTCAGCATTTTCGTTAGTTCTATATGAAACTAGGTGTTTGTCTTAAATAATTGGTAATCCCTTCATTTATCTTGTTATCTAATATAAACCAACATTATTGGTAAATGTGTAGCCAATGTCATGATGTATCTGCTTTTGGATAACAGTGACTGGCAAGAAAAGGGAAGCAAAAGCCAAACTTGTAGAAATAAAAAATTAATGAAAATGAAACAAAACGTAAACGAACTTAAAAAGGGAAGTAGACGAAGAAAGTCATATATATGAACATTGGCCATCAACTCTGCATAACTAGTGCCTTATATTTCGGGCAATATGCTGAATGCCATTTACAAATGCTATATTGCTATTCCTTTCAACTGTGTAAAAACAACCTTTGTGTATATTTGTTAAAAGAAGAGCATAGCTTTGACATAAACCAAAGACTTTAACTTTTACCAACCAAAAAATTTTTGTGGGTAACCGGTTATCCATTATGACCCTCACATATTTAATTCCAAACTAACATGCAAATATTCAAAAGAGTGCCGACTTATGAACTACTTATTGCTTTTAAGTCAGAATGATTAATTAATAGTAACAACACAAGATTATCTTATAATGGAGTGTGTTTAGATGGACCTTTTTTTATTAGGGGAAAAGCTTTAAAACGCTTTTGGTACAATGCTTTTTTCGTGAATGCTTTTGTAAGAGTGGTAATGCCATGTCTTTGTTCAATGTTAAAGATTATATAAATAAAGTCCATAATGACAGTGTTTTGACATTTTTAAAATATTGAACTTTAACATTCCTCTAAGAGCATGTTTGTGTACCCTTTGAATTGGCTTTACACTTTTCCAAAGCAACATTGTGTGACAAGTAAGAATTTTTAGCTTTCGGTTGGAAATACGTTTGGAAAGCTTAGAACAGAAATGTACACACTGACTAAACAATGAAAAGCAACTGAAAAAAGTTTTCAAAACAGAAATAGAAGATTATTTTATTTCATAATTTTATAGCAAGCCCCGTCCATTTTATTTCAAATTTGTAGAAAATTTGAACTCGTCAGTTCTATTTAAATATTACCAACTTTTATCACTTCTGTTCCGTTCAAATAGTTGCATATAATTAAAGTAATTAATGCATTTCAATTACAATGAAGTTTTAATAATTCTTAATAGATAACATCAACATCATGATTTTGCAGCTGATTTAAAACGTTACGTGTGCAAGAAAATATATCAAAGAGAATCATTATTGACCAACAAAAAAGTCAAGTTTAAACTTGTTAGGAGTTATCAAAAGTCAATACAGAGTAACTGAACGATTATTGAGTCCTAAAACAAAAACGCAATTTGACAATAAGCAAGCTTCTTCATATTTATTTTCCTTTTCTTCCCACGAGCTCGGAATTTGACTAAACAATATTAAAATAATGCTTCTCACAAGGTAAATAGAGAAGGACCGGATATTCATAGCTCCACACTTTGATTTTAGTAATGTGTTTAATGATAATACAACATTTTCACGCGTTCATTGCTGACCGTTATCATCTATTTATTTAAGGGTTTTGTTAATATTAACAAAATTAACTTTTTATTCTTTTTACATGAAAGTTTAAAAATAAAGATTGGCCTGTTGCTTATCTAAGCCACATCTCAGACTTATAAAAGTTTTTTCATTAGGTTTAACAAGAAATAAGTTTAGAACATTTTGTTGAACATAATTTAATTTTATGAATTAATCCTTATGGGCGATTAAACAGCTTACTCTTGGTGAGACCCAACAAAATTAAAAAACGTGTAATTTGCTGAACACATTTGTTGGCCTATTTCTTTTGAATTCAACAAAAATGTTTCAAAAGTAATGCATAAAGGAAAAAAAAAGGTATTAACTAAAAAATTAAGTACTTAGACGCATTTAATTTGCATTAATGATGCAGAGAGTGAAGGAGATTGAGGGTGAGGTGGATTCACTCTCCACTCTATGATTTGAGACATCATTTTTCCAAAGGACAATAACAGTGATGAAAATATGCATTCTCCTAGTATTTCTGTCCCGGCATTGCACCTAACCGAGTAAGTGTGCATTTTGATCTCAAGGGAAGCCCAACTAGCTATTCTGTGGAATCCTAACCACAATATAAAATTCTGAAAATCAATTATAAATTTCCACACAATTATTTAAACTTTCAGAAGAGTTGCATTGACATGATGTAAGGAATTTCTTTATCCCTGAGACAGACTAATTCTTGATGCCTCCAATTCTCCAAAAATATCAGTTCAATCTAACGTGGGCGGAAAATCGTATTAACGAGGATAAATTTCAACATTTTTTTGTGTTAAGATTCAATTCTTTGAAGTATTTTACCCACTTTTATTTGTCTATAAGAAAAAATTACACTAGAGAAAAATCTATCTGGTAGTTACCGTAGGAAAAGGAGCACATTGAATGCAATAGTAGTAACACAAACGATCAAAAGTTTCATGTAAATTCACTAGCCAAGTTGCCAATATTATAACATCATCTTCAGCAATTACAGAATCCTACCTAGCTCATATTAACATGGTCAATTTGTAATGTTTGAGAAAATCATCTACGATAATTTTAAATTGAATATCTCAAACATACATGCTACACTAAGCTAGAAAGTCTCGCAAGTTTTACGGGCAGAAAAGATTCCTCTAAATGGTTTCAGGGTCAACTATCCTATACTTAGTTAAAAGGAACAGTATGAAACCAAAAGCGACCACTATTCTGATTGTTCAAACGGGACACGAACGAACAACTGCCCATGCAGCGTCACCACTGCAGATGTCAGATGAGGATCAATTCTTGAGGGCAAGCTGACAACCTGAATTCATAAAATTCTTCACGTTAGAGTGAAAAAGCTGAGTAACGTGCCATATTAGTCCGGAAGAATAATGTAAAAACAAAAAGAAAAAGGTTTAAAATACGGAATGTATTAGTAAGCCTTTTACCATATCAACTATTTACAGTAAAAAGCTAGGAATATCAGAAAAATAAAATTGTTGCTCCAGTGAAGCAGAGTAATGTTGATAAAGACACACGGCGTGATTGTTTCACTTTAAATCTTGCAGTGTTTTGGTGTTAAGGATAAAATTGCAGCAAGCATAGACCATGGACTGTTATAACATGTCAACAACATATCATCAAGTTGAAAGTTGAAACCATAGCAATTGCAGTTGAAAAATGACAAAGCCAGACAGATCCATTTCATTGATGATGAAGAAGAAAATCTACCTTCTTGAAAGGTGTCACGCCCCATGGATTGTTGGGATGCTCAGGCTCACCACTTATGACTAAGCGTCCTGCTGGGTCTGATTGTACACGGACCTGGTTTTAGAAAGTATACATGATACATGATTCCATTTCAGTATTGTAAATTGAGATATCATTTTCTTACCAAAAAAATATATACAAGAGAGAGAAATATGTAATAGGATAGACGATCTGATGGAAAGAGATATAAGAGCATTGTATAATTTATTGTGGAAATATAATTCTATTTAAATTATGTTTTTAAATCCACAGCTTATTACATCAAAAGCTAACAAACTTCAATGAAGGCAACTCGGACCCTCATGCAAAATGAAAATCCTCCAATGCAAGGTTGAATAAATTATTCTCTCTTTAAAAAATGGTGCTTATGAAATAGGTCATTTGGGAGAGCACAACCAGTACCTACAACTTTTGAAGGGTCAAAGTAGCTCGAAACTGCTGTTATACCCTTGTTTATGGAACATTTTGGAATATGAATTATATCATTTCTGAATAAAAAGGGATGCCACTAGTAGTAGTACTAGTACAATGTAACCTTTACCACGGGTCTATGCACCGCATCAAGCAATCATATGAAATCAGGTAACCATTTTTTGCGCTTTTTTAATGCCTCAAGGTTGAAGAGGAATATATTACAGAACATTCTAAAAACAAGTAATCTTATCCTTTTATACAGTGAATTTCCCACTCATTCTACCATGAATTTAGTGTGCCTCCCATATTGCAACTCCCTCTCAGTGACAGGGAGAGAAATAGCAAAATGATTAGCTTGATTTTCATCACAACAGATTATTAATACAAATAAAAGGAAAGTATAACAACCAGAATGTATAGTACCTCTTCCCGCAGAAGGCCAGGAACTAAAGCATATACCTCAAAACAATCTTTCTGCACAGAAAAGTTTTCACTGAAATGAGTAAATTACAGACATAGCTTATATGCTATTTGAACACGAGATAAAGAACTTACAGTTTTTTGTACATTGATTTTTACCCAATCAGCAGGAGGCCCAATATCAATTACAGCTGAGTCCAATCTAGCAGTCACACAAATCAACAGAGGCAGGCTAGTCAGTGGCTAAACAAAATGCCAAAGTAAAAACTTTCTAGCAAGGCATTGGCAACACATTTCAGTTGTAAACTAGACAGATATATAAGCAAGCATTTTAAGCACAAGACATGAGAAGAGAGAGATTGAAAATGAAGTAACTGTGTGTGCCTTAACTGTGGTTTAGATGGTTTACTCCGTGCTGCTTTGACTGCATTATCCATGTAAGATGGCTTCTTGCGTTTCAGTAAATCTGGGCCAATAAGGGGGATAATCCAATACTGAGAATCATTTAATACTTGAAATGCTGTCAAAAATTATACCGATAGGATGAAAGACATACTGATACTTTTAAGCTGCTTTTCACGCTTTTGTACAGACACAGAATTCCTATCCTAAGAAAAAAAAAATTTAAAAATTAATTATATGCAGGTAAAAACTGACAACATAAAAAAATTCAGGAGAACAAAAATCACTAATACAAAATTCTACCAGACCTTAATAATAGGGTCACTAACTTCACCGTTGCCCAGGAGACGCTGTGAGTGCCAACCCTGCATAGCCCGTGCTGCTGCATCTCTTCGGGCTCTACCTGACGCCGAAGCCTGAATTTTTCCATCATTAAAAAGATTATTAAGTCACTAAGACAAAATTCAGTGATGGCAGGAAAAATGACCGAGCCTTAGTTCAACACCTCTTGCACAGCCTACCACAACTAAAGGGGGAATTTGCTGAATTGCAAAGATAAGTAGAAATTCAAACCAATTTCAGATATAGTTCAAGAAAATTTGACATGAAATTTAACTCAGTTAATGATGCCTTAAATTTACATGCAGTCATTAGTTATCTATGGATGGTATTGAGGAGAAGAAATTTTGTAGACATGACTGGAGACATGCATGCGATATCTTTCTCTTGGTGGAAACAAAATTTCATAATGGCCTTTACAAATTGTGATGCAAGGAACAACCCTCCATATAATTAATTTCTAGAAAGAAGCAGTAACTGCAAAATAATGATTCTACTTGACTTCAAAACAATCTTCTACTGAATATTAGAAATAGAAGCAACACACACCAGCAACTAAAATTACTAGAGATAAGACATATCAGGAGCAATTTGAAGTGATAAATAGGTCCCAAAAATTCTATTGAACATGAACAAATAATTTTGACAGACAATAAATGAGAATTATTGCAAGTATAGGCTTGTTTGGATTTCATTATTTTGGAAACAAAATCAGTTTTTCTTTCTCCAAAAGATATCCAAGTCCTTGATTATAAGTGGTTTCAAATACAAAATAAGCTAAATCCAAACATAGTCAATTAATGAAATTATGGTGATGCCCCATCTTATTCCAGGGAATTTGGTGAGAAGGGTTTCTTATATATTATTGCTCATGCTACAGATGTCAAAAAATACAAAATACATATTACCTGATTTTCAATATTCATAGGCTCTGGATGAGAAGCAATAGGCACATTCAGCTCACCTCCTTTTATTTTATGCCTTTCATAATCAAGAAGTGCCTGAAGTCGTGTGTCATAAACAGCAATAATGAAGTAAGGCATGGATAACAGACTCCATAATTCTAAAGGTAAAATATCTGATGCAATTTTCTGACATCTTTCAAAATAGGAAAAGTACTAATGAAACAAAATCTCTAAGTCAATATTAACCTCTAAATCAAGTATGGCTAGATATTAGAAGCCAACCATGAGAACACAAACAAACAGGAAATGTATCCCATGTCACAGTTAAGTAGAAATAAATTATAAGAAAATTTAGGCACATGAACACTATGTTCAACATCTTAATAACCAGAAAAAGAATGGTAATAAATGCTTATTATCTATATCAAAAGTCAATATTCTAGTGCAAACAAAAAGTACTTATAAGCTTTAAAGGAATATTAGCCAAGTACATATCTAAACTACATTTGTAATTGTAATTAGTAAACGCAATTAACAAAAGCTAAAGTATTACTTATTAATCCAGAATCACCTTCTCATAAAATCCCCTAAAAGTCCATGAAACAGTGGTGCATGTCCTGCATACATTGAAAACAGAGGGCAGTATTAAATTATTATGAATAATCCAATTCCATCCAAACAGCCCACAATAATCCAACCACCAAACACAACACGCTCGTGCACGCCCATAAAAATAGAAAAAGGGGTAAAATAATGCACTTGGACAGCATCTAGGCAAATGATTCAAATGAAGACATTGAAAAATCACAAGCAATCCATGTCTTGATGAAAAAACAACTGCTTCAAAACAAAGCTTTCCAAAATCAACCATTCATAATTCAACAGAAGCATCCATCACATTTTGCTTTCCATTGACAGTTAGAACTTTGAAAATCATTTCAATTTCACTCAGCACCCTTTCCATTACAGACTAGATAATCATTGCACAGTGGCGTTACATAGCAAAATAGAAAGAACACACATCACAAATATTACATTCAATAACACTAAAGAGACAAAAAGCATAAATGAAACTGCATGTATAAGAAGACATGAAAGAGCAGGTTGGTCCTTACTTTGGAGGTTTGAAAGACTCTCCCACTTGTCGCCATAATTTACAAGAGGTCACCTAGTCATAAATATAAGGTAGTTAGGTGAATGTCTTGGAAATAATAAAAACAAACAAACTGATAGGTTAGAACGTTAGAGTGTAATCGAAGTTAATTTGGCTCAAAAAACAATCCATTAAAGTTCTGGTCATCTACGGTAAAATTACATGAAACCTATTTAAGAATTAAAGAAAATTAAGAGTTTTATAATTAAAATAACAGCCAAATTTACAGACTGCTTGGTGCATCATGACTAGTCTCACATACTGATGTGAGAAATAAGCTTGTACCAAATATCTTATAAAAATTAAAATTTCTCGCTAGTCCCTTCCCCTGTATATGCATGCACTTGTTTTATTCTACTTGCACAGTTAAAATTGGTCCTCCTACTGCTGACACCTCACAATCCACTAAAGTAACAAGAAAATCATTTTACATGCTAAACAACTACTGAAGAGTGTCAAAAATCGTAATCAGTAATCACCATTTGAAATTACAGTGAACTTCTACTATATTTAATCATTCATCCAAAATTAGCTACATAAATATTATATAAGTAATTCAGCAGGGAAGAAAGCATGAATACCTTATCATAGCCACCCAATCTTGTTACAGCTCTCCACAACCTTATATATTCACCAATTAAGCATTAGGTGACAATTTTTTAGAATTTGGTGGATTTATGTCATATTTAAAGACAGAAAAAGTTCAAATGAAAATGTATAACTCACTTAAGGCAATTAAGCCCTTCTCCATAAAACTTGGGAGGTTTGAATTCCATGCTCCTCTCCCTAAAGAAATTTTCAAGCTCTTTCATAAATGCTGACTGCTCTTCCTCTGTTCCTGACTCATTACCATCATAAGAATGGTCAGCATCCAAGAAAAACATGTGCTTTGAATTTGAATTCCCATTATCTGCAGGTTCAGCAGCTTGCTTTTCATCAGGCTTATTCTCAACTTCCAATACATCCTTGATTTCAGCTTTTGCATCGGCAATAGCAGGTTGTGGCACAGCAGGCTCACTGTGACTTGTAGTCATGGCCGTGGGTTCACCATTATTACAAGTTTTACTATCAGCCACTGCACAAGCTTCAGGCTTCACCTCCATAGCTGTTCCAGCATCACCAACATTATTTTGATGAACGTTATCATCATTCTCAACATCCTTATTACTCTGGGGAATTTCTTCAGCTTCCACCTTTGCATCAGAAGCTTCTTTCCGCTCAGTTTTGTTCAAAATCTGAGTATCAGCCTCTACTGGGACAGAGTGAAGAGTGGTTTGAAGATCTTGTGGAATTCCTTTGGAAACAGCCGCAGGTTCCAAAATTTTATCCTCAGCAGGTGGCTCTGCCTTCACATTTTCAACATTATTTGACTCATTTTCAACATGATTTGAAGTTTCTTCTACTAAAACAGTAGCAGAAACAGCTTCAGGTTGAACTTGAACCTGTGCATCAACCAATTTCTGGTTTTCTTCCACAACCGAGGGCACGCCCTGGCCAGCTTCCTCGTTTTCTTTTGTATCACTCATTTGCAAATTTCAATTATGCATGAGATCACAACAACTTCCTACAACAACCCATTACAAAAATTTAAGGAAAAAGAGGGACCATCAAAACAGAACTTCTATCGTGAGTCTTAACTATTAACCCTCCCTCAAAATAAATAAAAATAAGGGGAAATTTTTTTAAAAAAAGGGGAGGATAAGAACTTTTTTACTCAGAGAACTAAACCCTAGCCAGTCACCCATTACGACAGACAATCTTGGTTAATTTACCACAATTAAAAGAAAAGGGGAAGCAAGCAAAAACTCCACAGAACTATGTGTAAGTGAAATTCATAAAACTTTGCTTGTCTGGGTGTTCTTTGTTCAGAGAGAAGAGAAAAAAAATGGAGTCTCGTAAAAAAAGGAATAAAAGAAACAACGTAATGTAGCATTACCTGTACGAATTGCAATTGAAGGGTAAGGCTACAGTGTGAGCAGAACAAACCCTAAATTGGAAAGGCAAGATAAGTTGAATTTGAGAAACCCTAATTGTTTGTCCTCCTCTCTGCGGTTTGCAGGAAATTCACCCCTAATGCAAATGTCTGGTTGAAGCGGCAGGTTTTTGACACATAGTTGGTTGCACGCGCCACGCGCCGCGCAACTAAGAGGGGACGATAATACGACGTCGTCACTTTCTGGACTTAAACAATGCGAATTCTTGGACCTAACATTTGAGAATGCACCCCAATTTTCATGGCGGCCCAAAGAAAATAAAGTACAAGTATGCAAAAAGAAAATATGTCTATTATTACTATTTTTAAGTGACTTTTGCCTAAAATATTTTTTTCTTGTAACTATATCAATATTGAGAATATTTTACATAAAAAAAAACTCAATTAATGTGACAATAGACCATATGGAATACTGTAACAACCATAGAAATTCTTCTATCAATCTATTTCTCTATATGTATATATATATATTATTTAATTTAGATATTTATTATATTCAATTGATGTTATAAAATTTGTGATAAATTTTACTTTATAACTAGAAAATATATCCGTGCGTTGCACAGTTTATTTTTTTATTAAATTAATTTATTTTAAAATATAAAATATATAATTTAAATATAAAAATATAAATATAATAAAAATTTATTTATAAAATAAATTATTATTTAAAATATGTATAATTTAGTATTTTTTAGTATAAAATAAAATAACATATAAATATCTTATTTTTAAAATGAAAAAATAAAATTTATATTATTTCATGATATCATAAATTATTTATTATTATAAAATTTTAAATAAATAATTATAACAATAAGTTATTAAATATAATAAATTTGTTAACATATGTTATAAAATTTAAATAAAAAGTCTTATAATTTTTTATTTATATATTTATTTATATTTATTGAATTAAATTTATAAGATAAACTATCTATATATAATTATAATTTAAAATTATTAATAAAATTTTACTATATAATTATTAAGACATGATATCATACTTTTTAAAAATAACCTATCAGACTAATATATAAAAAATAAAGTATTTATTCATCTAATGTATGAAATTTTAAAAATCATCTTTAAATATTAATATACACAAAACTATATTTAATATTTAAATATATATATATATATATATTAAACTTTTTATATATAAATAAAATTATCATACAAAAATATTGTAAATAAAAATTAATAATCATATAATATATATACAGAATTTAAAAATTTACTTTTTGATAAAAAAAATATGGAATTGAATTTTTTTAAATGATTAAATTATTTTATATTTTTTTATAATTTAATAGAATTAATATTGATTGACATTATAAATAAATTAATTTTATCTAATAATCAATTAAGTATAATAAAATCATGTTATTTGAATTATAAAATTAAAATAATACATTTATTAATTTTTCTTATATAAATATTTTTTAATTTTTAAAAATAATTAATACAGTTTATTTATTATTTTAATTAAGAATTAATAAAAATAAATATATCTATAAATTAATTTAATAATGAAATGTTTAAAAATTTTATTAAAAGAACAAATATTAATTTAAATAAAATTTAAAAATAACTTTAAAATGCTATATAAAAAGAAACACATATATTGAACTAAAAATAAGTAAAAATATATATATATAATTATTTTAAAAATATATAAATATAACTTTAATATAAATACATTAAAATATTATATTACCATTAAAAAAATAAATGTGTTCTAACCATTTCGATGCAGATACAGTAAATTAAATTAGATATTTGATTTTTGTTTTTAGATTTTTTCTTTTTTTTTTCAATCTCTCATACATTATCTAATTCTATAAAAAGAAGTTAATATTTAATGAATCTGATTTAATTTTTTTAATTAAAAATATTTAGTTTAAGAATATAACATAATAAATAATTATATTAATAAAAAAATATGTACTGATTTCATATTTTTATGTATAATATTTGTATTTTAATTTATATCTTAAAAACTATTTGTAAATTCATAAAATGACTAAATTTTTCTATTATGAAACACTCTTCTTTGCATTTGTAATTGAATGTTATCATAAAAATTTTCAAAAGCATTAGAATTTATATTTCAATCTAACTTCTATTTTTCTTGGATTTAAAGTATTTTAATAGTTGTAAAGATTTAGACTTTATACTTATAAAATTTTAAAATAAATTATATATATATATAAATAAAATATAACACTTGAACTTAATTCAGAATTAAAATGTTATATTTTCTTTACTTATTCATTCATTATGATATAAAATTATTAAATATGAAAATAGAATAGTTAATATATATTCATTTTCATTGTTTTGATATTTAGTAATTTTTAATTTATTTTAATTATTATAATTAATTAGTTTTAATTGAAGAGTTTTAAATTTATCATCATCATTATAACATTTTATAAAAGACATTGCAACAAAATCATTAAGTATAAATATTGTTAATTTTTTAATTTAAAAAAATTAAATTTGTCATCATAATTATTATAATATAAAATATAAATAAAGTATTGTTTATGTTAATAGGTTATACATAATTTTGATATATCAGTTTTTATTAAATTATTTTCTTAAAAAATTAAAATAATAGAAGAGAAAAAAAGAGTAGTTAAAAATTTTCAATTAAGATTTAGGTAGAAACTAAAAAAGAAGAATTGTTATATTTAATACAAAAATTAATCTTTATATCAATTAAATTTATAAATATTGATATAATATAAAATTTATGAATCACATATAAGATTTGTTTAAGAAAAAATTAATACATAATATATATAATAATAAAATAAGAGATATATATATAATAAAATAACAAAATTATCTTATAAAAGACTTAAATGTTTAGTGACGTTTTACTTTTCAGACTCTACACAATATTATCAGTATTTATACAGTACTGCAATAAAAATGGTTCAATCTTCTAAATCTTCCATTGTTGTCTTTTGTTCACAATTTTTTGCTTTGTCTTCCTTAAGTTATAACCTAAAAGAAAATATCAAATATAAATTATTAATCTAAGAAATTTGAACAATACATTATAAATTTTTAATTTATACATTAATTTTCTCATTTTTTTGGTAAATTCATTGTTTCTATGGTTAGAGATATATGTGAATAACTTATTGTTAAATTATTTTCTTTTATTTTTTCATTTATATTGTCCACTCCTTCTTCCTTTTCAATTTGTAAATATAAACAAATAAAATAAAGTTATTTATCACTGTATTATAAACATTATAAATGAAAGTAATGAAACTCCAATTTAATTTTCTATATTACCTTCACTATCGGCTTCACAATTTTATTTGCAGTGAAACATTATTTTTCACGACTTTCAAAGTAGGTACTTATTTTTATTTGAACAATATATGAAGTGTCAATAATCTTTAAAAGTTGTAGAGGCAACTTTAACACTTCACCATTACCTTTAAAAAAATTATCACATAAAAATAGTTATATGTTATAATATATTTTATTTATAAGAAGTTAGAAATTAACACATTTACTTACAATTTTAGATGTTGCAATAAGATATGTTAACTTTACTTGTGCTAATTGTTCAACAACTTTATTAAATAAGACAAATATAGTTGAATCTGTAAAATCTTTAACATCAAACTCAAGACGAGACATGTAATGCATATAAATTAAGGTAATAATATATAATTCAATTTATTTTAATATGAAATTTTAAAAATTAGAATATATAGTGATAAATTAGTTACCTTGTCATTTGATACTCTAAGTCTTTATAACATTATTCACATTTAAAATTTGTAGTTGTGAAAGAAACTTTTTTCTTGCAATGAAAGCAAGAAATATAATACAAATCATTTTTAAGTATTACATCGTTCACAGTTATAATATAACCAATTACGATATTTTAAAAATTAATTAAAAAATTAGTTTATAACTTAAATAAGAAGAATAAAGTATAAGAGAGATTAAATTTACTATATCACTCTTTGATTTTGCCGTTGTCAATATTTTAGATATGTTTTTGAAATTTCCTAACTTAGGAAAAATAGTATATCTTGTATTATCAATATTGTGAGCAATATGCATATAATTAAAATCTCTTTAACAAAGTGATAATGAATAATTAAAAATGTAGTTAAAATAAAAAGTAAACAATTAGAAATAATTAATGTAACAGAGAGATTTTAAATAATTTCAATACTTGAATAAATTTATAAGATGAGTAACTTCTGGTATGTCAATATTGACATAATTCTTTATTGATCTTGATGTGGAAAATTGGAAATATAAATATTACCTATAATACATACATTCATATTTTTTCTAATTAAATATCACAGTCATGATATTTACACTCTTATTTTTCATTCATCTATTGTTAAGTTCAGATCGTTAAGAAAAATTTATTTATCTTCAATGAAACTTGTCGTTCTTCTACAACATCATGGAAATATAAAAATAAATAATTACTTGTGATGAATATAAGAAAATAATAAAAGATTTAATACAAATTAATCAATTAAAAATAAGATTCAATACATTATATAATTTAAAAATGATACTTTATGCTTATTTAAAAAAAATTAAAATATATAACACAATTTAGTGAAACAAAATAAAAAATATCAAACTTAAAAACACATGTACTTGTGTGGATAGATAATTTTTGACTGTTGACATTGTTGCAAAATACGAAGAAAAAATATAACAATAGAAAGATCGGTGAGCAAGTTTTTAAAAGTTATGTAAATATGACTTATATAAGTAGAGAATAAGTCCTTATTTAAGATATATGAAAAGTCAGAAAATAAAATATTAATGTAATAAAAGTTATTTTTTCTTTCAAAATTTACTCTAATAATATAATATATAATATAAAACAATAATTCACATTCAACATATATTTTGATTTTTGAAATATATATGGAACTATATATTATATTAAACTAATTAATAAGATTATTTAAATATGTAAACTTACCTTTTTATTAGAAATGTAATTTAACAATATATAATATAAACTAATAATTTTATAAATATTTTAATTTTTGAGATATATATTAAATTATATATTATATTAAACTAATTAATATGAGTGACTTTATAGGTTCTGAATTAATTCTTTAAATAGAATTCATCAATTCTAATAAAAATTCTTTAAATACAATTCAAAGATAAATAAGTATGAATAAATATAATTTCAATTCATAAATTATATGTTTTGAATTTTAATGC